CCGCCCGCCGCCCCGCCCCCCCCCCGTCGCTCGGCGGCGGGGACATACTTCAAGAGGCTGCGCATTCCGTCAGACCATGAATTGGATACACAGAATCCTGTTTACAGCTTCCGCGTATCCAGGTTCAATTTTCCAGCGTCTTCGCTACTTTTCTCTTCCCCCGCCCCCTCCCCCCTCCCCCTTTCTGATATCAACCATGGTCCGTGTCCTCCTTCCTTTGCCCTTGTCCTCCCCCCCGCCTCCTCCTTCCTTTGCCCCTGTCCTCCCTCACCCGAGGAGTATGTGTCCCTCCTCCCTTACTAACGCGCGTCCGGTCTCTCGTCCCCTCCCTCCCTCCCCTTCTCTCTCTCCCTCTCTCTCCCTCCCGGGGTGTGTGGACGCCCATGCACACAGGCTGTCACTGACGAGGGTACGCCGCCAGCGCCTTCTTCCGGACTGCGCCCATCCCCCCCCCTGCGCCACCTCTCCCTCCTCTGCCCTTCGCCCCCCCCCTCTAACATGTGTGTCTCCCCCCCCTGCTCTCCTCGTCCCACCACAGAGTCTCGCGAGGCCTTCAACCTCTACGACAAGCTCGGCGATGGTACCATCTCCGTCAAGGACCTCCCCGACCTCCTGCGCGCCGTCGGCCAGAACCCCCTCCAGCGCGAGGTCGATGAGATCTGCAAGAAGATCGACCCGTCCGGCAACAAGCGCCTGACCTTCGACGAGTACAAGGCTATCCAGAACCGCGCCGACGGCTGGAAGGCTCACGGCTCCGAGGAGGAGTTCATCCAGGGCTTCGCCGTCTTCGACCGCGATGGCAACGGCCTCATCTCCGCTGGTGAGCTCCGCTACGTCCTCACCTCCCTCGGTGAGAAGCTCTCCGACCGTGAGGTTGATGAGCTCCTCCGTGGTGTTGAGCTCAACAAGGACGGCAGCCTCAACTACGAGGGTATGTTTCTCCCTCCCCCCTTTCCCCCGCCGCAGTCTTCCTTCTCTCTCTCTCTCTCTGCCTCTCCTGTGGTGTGGCGAGAGAGAGAGGCATCCACACGCGCCCGTCCTCCTTTCCCGCCTCCCGTTCCACATACTGACGCGTGTCCCCCTCTGGCCCGCCGCCGCTGTCCTTCCCTCTCCCCCCCCCGCTTCTCGCAGAGTTCGTCCGCACCATCATCAAGGCTTAAATGCTTTGTCTCAGCGACATATCCATTTAGTTCCTTCGAATGTCTCTTGGACCCATATACACAACACCTCACAAGATACATCTCCCCCTCATACCTCCAACTTAGCGCGTTTGTGTGTGTGTGTGTGTCCGTCTGTGTCTCCCCCCCTGCCATTGGTGGGGGGTCTTCCTGTTGCGCGCGCCTCCTTCGCCATGTTCCTTTCTCTTGCTCCGCCCCGCCTCGCGGCGCGCCTACGTGGGTGTTGTTCCTGCTCGCGCACGGCCGCGCGCCATACCGAAGGGGGTGGGGCGCGGAGGAGAGGAGGTGTATCGGGTGGACCGCGGTGTGTGCTTTTTTCTGTGCCCTTTTCCGCACCCATGTCCTTGCATCCTGCACGCCCTCGGGACTCTTTCTCTCCCTTTTCTCTCCTCTCGCGCGCGAAGGGGCATGGGCTGCGCGTGGGCGTGTGTGGTGCTTCCAGAGAGGGGGGAGGAGCGCCAGGCACACGAAGGCATCCCGTCCTCTGTTCCTTTTTCATCTTCACCCCGGGTTCCAGTCTTCATCGCCACACGGGAGAGAGCGATCCCGAGTGGGCTTTGGAGAACGGTCTCCCGGCCCGGGTGGAGGCGCGCCTCGCGGAGGGGCGAGCGCACCCTGGGAAGACGCCACCAAAGGACACCAGGGTGGCGAGGGGACGGGGGCTGGGAAGGGGCGGCGGGGGGACCCCCCGTCCAGCCGTGGAAACCCATGAGTTGGCCCGGGGAGGGGCGGGACGGGGTCAAGCCATCCTCTGACCCGGGGGAGGTATGCCGGCACGGGGCGCGAAAAAATGAGATGAAAAACAAAAAACAACAACACACACCGGCGATCCTGGTGTGTGCTATGTGCTGGTGTGCGCGCGTACGAGTGCTTCCCTGTGTGTGTGTATGTGTATGTGTGTATGTGTGTGTGTGTGTGTACTACGCGCGGGGCCCGTCCGGCCCTGTCCGGCCGGTAGAGCCCCCCCCCCCCCCCCCGCAACTTGGCAGAGGGGCCGGGGGGTCTTTTGTCCAAGGAAGGAGCCCGTTGGCAATATTGGGAAGTGCCCTCCCTCAGCCCGGACCATTGTTTGATCAGTCTCCCTTTGGTCCCTCCCCCCCCCCCTGCCGTCCTTGTGTCGCCTCCCTGGCTACTCCTCCTCGTTTCCTCCCTGATCTCGCTCCGCTCGGCCGTCCCTTCTCCTCTCTCCCCCTCTCTCCCTCTCTCCCCTATCTCCCCCATCTCCCCCATCTCCCTCTCTCCCCCTCTCTTCCGGTCTCTCGGTACCTCTGCGCGCGCGCGCGCGCGACCGCCACATGGGGCTCATCCGTCCATACAAACCCTCGAAGGAGGAGCGTGCCGAGCGCTCCAAGCTCGAGGAGATCGTTGTCCACCGCTCTGCCTCCGGCAGCCAGGAGCTCAGCAATTGTTCGTCCACTCTCACCAGCCGCTCGATCTCCGTCCTGGCCCCCCTCCCACTCGTTCCCTGTCTTCGTGCTCACCCCCGCCCCCCCCCCCCCCCCCCCCCCCCCCCCCCCCCCCCCCCCCCCCCCCCCCCCCCCCCGCCGCCGGCGCAGCACTCTTCAAGGCCACTGTCGTCAATTCCATCTCGCTGGTCACGCAGATCTTCAACACGGGGATTGCCTCCAAGTACCAGATCATCTTCTGCGACTCCTTCGTCGTGGCCACCGCCCCTACATATGAGCAAATCCTCCAGGACTGGAACACCATCCAGGGGATCGACATCTTGAGCTTCCCCCCGGATCGACGCGTGTCGGCCACGCTGAATGCCCTGGCGGCCCTGCAGCAGCAGCAGGCCCGCGGGCTGCGCCTGTCCACACAGACCCCGCCTCCCGGGGCCGCGGCCTTCCCCTCGCCGCGCGCCAGCGAGTCCGGCTCCTCGGCCGAGTTGCCCATCCTGCCGGGGACGCCGCCCCCCTCGGTGCTGGCAGCCGCCAGCGCCACCTCCCGCGGCAAGCCGCCGCTGCCGGATGTGGCTGGCGATCGCGAAACCTCGCTGCTGAGTCTCTGGCGCGCGGACACCACGCCCAGCGGCCTGTCCGGCTCGCTGTCCAACCTGCACGGCGGCGGGCCCGATGCGTCCGGCGAGTCGGTAGCCCGCATGCGCTCCCACTCCCAGGGCAGCCAGGCGACCGGCGGCTCGCGCTCGGGCCTGGCCCTTGATCGGCAGCACTGCCCCAGCGATGGCGATGAGAGGGATGCCGAAATCCGGCCCCCCCTGCCGGCGGTCCCCGGCGCCTCCACCCCCACCGGGAGGAGGGTGTCCACGCCGCCGCCGGCGCCATCGCCGCCGGCGCCGCCGGTGCCGCCTCACCCGGCATCCCTGACTCCGGCCCTGTCCGATGCCTCGGGCAGTGGCTCGCCGCCGGTTGATCCTGATCCCCCTGGTGGGGATGTGCTCTCCTTGACCGACGGGCTTCCCTCCAACCCCGATCCGGAGGTGGTGTTGCCGCAGGCCGATGACGATGCGGACCTCGGCGAGCTGCACATCCCGCCGGGTTCCCCGCCGGACCTGGGCATCAGCGCCCTGTCCGGGGGGGTTGCCTGCTCGGCCTCGGGCGGGTCCAATGCCTCGAGCACCTCCATGGCTGCTGTCAGTTCGGCGCCGCGCGTGCTACCGGCCCCGGCCCCGGCCCCGGCCCCGAGCACGCAATCGCCCTCGCCCTCGCCCTCTGGTCTCCCTCCCGCCGGCGCCGCATCGCACCCGGCGCCGGCTGCAGCCACTGGCGATGCCTCCTCCCCTTCAGATCTCACCACAGTCGACCCTCCGCCGTCCCTGTCGTCATTGCCCTTGCCGGCATCCGGCCCTCGGCGGCCTGCACTGGCCGGTTCAGCTGCTCGGCCAGGCCCCGCGACGCCGCCAGCCCGGCCACATTCCATGCCCCCCTCGCGGCTGGCCCATCCGGCCGGTGATGACTTCCTCTCCCTCATCAACCCGCTGGCTCTGCCTGTGTTCTACTCGTCGGGCCCTCCGGCGCTGGCTTCCCCACCGGGCTCGCCATCCCTCCCCGGCGGGCCCCCTGCCGGCCTGTCTCCTCCGGGCACCGCCCCTGCCACCGCCACCACCGCCACCAGTGCCTCGGCCGCTGCCACGTCTGATGCCGCCACCGCCGCCGGTGCGGCCACTGGTGCGGCCAACGCCGCCGATCATGCTACTACCTCCACCAGTCATGCTGCCGGCGCCGGCGCCGGCGCCGCCACCGATGCCGGCGCCACCGCCGCCGAGTCCACCCCCTCCGGGTCGCCAAAGCTTTCGGTCTGGCAATGGGCATCGGTGCTGGTGACGCGGCCGAACTTGCTCTTCACCCCGGGCGGCCTGGCCGCCGTGCCGGAGCTACTGGCCGGCCGCCCCCCGGAATCCGGCCCGGTCGAACAGGCCGCCGAGCACAGCACCCCCACGTCGCAGGCCGGCTCGCGCGCGGCCTCGCGCCCGGCCTCCCGGTCGCCGAGTTTCCTCTTCCTGTCTCCCTCGCAGCAGCAACTTCGCATGGGCGCCGGGTCGGCCGATGGCTTTGAACTGGCGTCGCTGGACGCGAGCGCCACCGGCGGAGCGGCCAACCCCGAGGATGGCCCCCTGGCGCCCCTGTCCCCCATGCTCGGCGCCGGGGACGCGCTGCGGCGCTCTCGGCGGGGGTCCGCCGCCAGCGGGCTGGACGCCCTTTCGTCGGATCCTCTGGCCGGCACCGGTCGTCCGGCTGGGGGATCTCACACTTCCCTGGTGGCGGACAATCTGCCCATGTCACAGGTGCGTGCCCCCTCGCGGGGCTCGGTCCTCTCGGCCCGGAGGTTGCCATTTTCGCGGTCTTCCTTTGCCCTGCCCACTGACTCTCTCTCTCTCTCTCCCCCCCCCCCTCACCCCACTCCAAGGCTCGCCTCATGCGGCCCGAGGAGGTCGAGGCAGCCGTCGGGGACGTCCTCCAGCGCATGGGGTTCCACTTCGCCGATTCGCGGCTGCTTCTCCTGTCGCAAGCGCTGGACACGCTGATTGTCCTGCTGGCCACCGTGTCTCTTGTGCTGGCGCTGCTCGTGTCCGCCTCCATGTGAGCGGCGACCCGGGCGACGGGCCCAATAAAGCCACCCTTCCTCCTTCTCCGCCTCCTTCCCCGCGCGGCTCCCTGTCTTTTTGGGTGATCGGCGAGCTTGGCGCCGAAGCCCTGCCCACATGATCATCGCGGCTGTAGCGCTACGCGTGACGACCTCGATCGCGAGGCGGCTTCTCCGCGCATGCGCTGGCAGTTGGTCGCCCGCGCCCGGGCCCCGGGCATGGGGCGATGCGGGCGCCGTCCGGCCGGCGGGCCGCCCCCCCCCCCCGGGCCACCAACGGGCATCTTGCCGCCCTTTGTCGCTGTGGCCCTCTCGCTCTTTCGGCCCTTCTCCCTCTCTGGACCCGGGTGCGCTGGATGCTGTTCGCTCGCGTCCGTTGAACACCGGCCCCTTGTTGGGAGTGAGGCTTTTCCCGCCTACGCCGATTGTTTGGCCGCCACCGCCGCCGCCGCCGCCGCCCTAGCGCCTGCGGAGGGGCCGTTTTTTCGTTTCTCCTCCCCCGAGCCGGGATGGGAGCAGGGGCCTTGGGGCTGCCGGCGGGCGTGGCGGAGTCCGTGATGATTTTCGGCCACAGCTGCACTGGCGGCCCTCGACCAGGGGGTCATCAGACTCTCCTCCCCCCCCCC